CATTTGATGTTAAATTATCAATGATTGTGAAATTGAGAATCCATTTTTTCGATTCCAAGATACCAACTTTTGTGATATAGGATTCATAGCAAGCCTAGATAAACATGTCAATATATATATATATATATATAATTATGAGAATTATATTGTCATATATAATTGATTAATATTATACAGTCATAACATACCACACTCGAATATGATTTGTATAACGGAATGAATGATTAATATATAACTTGCTGTATTTGCATGTAGCGAGACATGGACCTAGAAGTTGAGAAAAGATAATTTATTAATATCAATATTTGTATATGCATGTAGATATTATAAAAGTGAATAAAAAGTAATCTTACCATGATAATCTTTAACTGTTAATCCAATAGCAAACAAAATATTATCATTCTCTAGAGTATGATATAGTTGCATGCCATCAATTATTGCAAACACATCCCATACAGTTAGTCTTATCAATGCAAAACTGTTTTTACAATTAAAAAAAGAGAGTTGAGATTATGAAAAATAATATAATTCGTAGAGTATTTCAAATTTGGTAAAGACATAGAAATATGTTATAGTATCATACCTTGTATCAAGTAGTAGAATCTCTCTCTTGTAATTTTCGCAATTTGCAATACCTTGACATTCAGTTACACTAACAACCAAGTCAATCACATCTGCAGGCAAGACAAAACTTGCAAAACAACATAACAAGACAAGATCATGCATGAATGTATGTAAGTATGGAAAGAGTAAGGTGAGGGTTGCTACAACTAACAACCAAGTCAATCACATCTGCATAATTTAGCATTGGCATGTTTATTGTTTTGATAGTCACAAATTTTTTGTATTGGTAATAAACTATGTAAGTATATAATCTAAATAAGTATCATTTCGTAAAAGTAACATACTTATTAATTGAACATCTTGATGAAGAAATTGGCTAATGTCTAATAATTTTTTAAGGAAATAATACTGAAGTGGTATATTATTATCATGATCAAGTATGTGCACAATTGTTGTATCATTAGTAAAAGACATCTTATAATAATATGGTACCAACTTGAATTTCTCATCAGCCAATGTAATATGAACTCTAAAACAATATATTTTTTCTTCAATTAAATGTTCTTTGAAGTAATCATATTCCTCAGAGCATACAATTCCTTCCATGGCATTACCCTTTGAAAAAAGGCAATAAGCACAAATTTTAACATAATATAAAACAAAATATTTAACAATTATCTCATGATAAGAGTTGTAAATACCTATCCATCAACAAAATTTTTTCTGAATGTCATATTTCCCCCAGGACGATCAGTCACAGATAACAACCTGACTAACTGAGCTTTAATGCTCCAATTACTTGCTTATGGATGTAAATCAGCGAAATAGGAATATCTAATAATTCTATCACCTATTAACAATGTATATTTAAATTGTAGGAGTTGTCATTATTTTTTAAACAGAATTATTACAAAATAATTCTTACCTTATTGTGGAACAATGCTATTATTTGTTGTCATTGCGGGTTGTGACACATCTCCATGCAATTGAACGCTCTCGGTTATGGGATTTATGACTATTTCATCATAAAAAAATTATTGAAAAATAATTAAATATCCCAAAATAAACTTATGTGAAATAATACAATGAGAATAGTAATGAGATAAGTATAAATTATGAGTCATGAATAACATAACAGTTTATTCTTACCTTGTTATGGAAGAATATTAATATTTGTTGTCATTGTGACTTCTGAGACATCTCCATGCAACTAAATGTCTTCAGATATGAGGGGCAGACTATTCCATCATCTAAAATTTAATTGAGAAATGATTAACTTAAAAATTAATATTTAATTTAAAGGTTTGTGAATATCAATTATTGGCAATTATAATTTTAAAAATTATAATTAAAAATATTAATATCTATATGCATTAGGGTTTATCTTCTGGTAGGACAACATTATTATTCACCGCCCTTGTAACTTCCGAAACATCTTCATGTATGTGAACTCCCTCGGATATTGGGAATACAACAATTCCTTTATTTGAATTTGCATGAATAAAATATTTAGTGTCAAATCATTTATTATTTGAAGTTATGATAATATTGTCAAATAAATCATAATTCTAAAATTAATACAAATAATAATTATTACCTTCTTCTTCTGTGACAATATGTTGTTCGCTATTATAGTTTCCTGTAATAAATCTCTATGCAACTGAATGCCCTCTAAATTTTGAGACATGACTATCCCGTCATCTAATTGGATGAAAAAATAAACAATATAAGTATCGGGAATTATAATTTTAAAAATCGTAATTGCGACATGACTATCCCGTCATCTAATTGGATGAAAAAATAAACAAACATAATTAGAAAATATTATTACTTGGGGTTCTTACCATTTAGAACATTGGTATTATTTGTCAATGTAGTGACTCTTGAAACATTTTGGTGGAAGTGAACACCCTCTGATGTGGAAGGCATAACAACTCTTGTATTTTAAATTGCAGCAATATATATATATATATATATTGAGTATAAAAACTAATGTTTCAATTAATATATATGAAAATGACAATGCTTCAGAACTTACTTATGACATTTCGAACATTCGTTCTATAAGAGCATCAGCATCAGGATAGTCAAAATTGTTTGTTAGCTAAATTAAAGATATAAATTTCAAAAAACCACCTCCTTCGGCCTCGCATCTAGCTCTTCAAAATTTACGTTTGCTACAGTATCTCGCTACAACAAGCGAGGTACTGTTCATCGTTACTTGTGTGATGCCGGATGTCCGCCCGGAAGTCCGGCCAGTCAACGGCAAATATTTATTTATTTTTTTTTTTTACCTTTACAAAGCAATATAAGAATTGTTTGGCTAGTAGCTCATCAATTTAATAAAAAAATAATAATAACAAATATTTTAATATGATTGAATTAGAATAGAGAGTTTGATGTAGTGGAGTAATTAGCTAAAATAGAAAAATGACTTTTTTAGTTATAATTTGACTAAAAATTTAAAGAGTTTGGTGTGGATGCTCTGATGCAATTGTTTGTCACGTAGAACACATACTCTTAATCGACGTGCTTCTTTTTGAAGTTGTTTCAATTTATCCTTAAATATGGGATCATCATGATTAGTTTGGCGTGAAATGAGTAATTTTCTTTTTTGACATAGTCGATTGATTTTAGTAGTAATTGTATCACGTTCCATCCTGTAAAAACACAGAGATTGTCACAACGCAAACAATTTTTTTTCCCTCATCGTGTGATCAAAATAGAGTGTAAAAAAACACAATCAGTTAAAAAAATTCACTGTGTGATCAAAACGGAGTGTAAAAACTACAATCACATTACATTTTTCTCATAATAAAAAAAATAAATGAAAAAAAACTATTAAACTAACTACAATACAATCACATTAAAAAAAAGAACCATTGAACTAACTACAATCACATTAAAAAAAAAAGAACCGTTGAATAAACTACAATCCCATCACATTTTTCCCATAATAAAAATAAATAAATGAAAAAAAAATCATTAAACTAATTACAATCACATTAAAAAAAAGAACCGTTGAACTAATTACAATCATATTTTTCTTTTTGTGAGTGTTTATATTTATCTAACTTCGATCATATTAAAAAATCAAATTATAATTTTTTTTTGGCTAGACCAAATACGAATCACAAAAGGAGATAACTTCAATCATACAAATCACAAATATTTTTATGCTATCTAACCACAATCATATTTTTTTCATAATAAAAAAAATAATTGTAAAGAAGAACCATTAAAACAGTAAATAAAATGATTAAATCACATTAAAAAAAAGAATCATGAACAAACTACAATCATATCACATTTTTCTCATAATAAAAAAAATAAATGAAAAAAAAGAACCATTGAACTAACTACAATACAATCACATTTAAAAAAAGAACCATTGAACAAACTATAATCACATCACATTTTTCTCATAATAAAAAAAATAAATGAAAAAAAAGAACCGTTGAACTAACTACAATACAATCACATTAAAAAAAAAAGAACCCTTGAAAAAATTATAAT